TGGTAATGACATAGATGATGAATGCCACAACCAAGACGCACCGCGTCTCTGCCTCGACAGGTGTCACACGAGAGTCGATCAATAATCCAAAATAAAGTATGATTCGACAATGCACCCAAAAACTCGTTTACGTTCAACAGAAAAATTTCCCATAGTTAAATAATAATTTTAGAGTAAAATTACATTCTAAATTTCAAATTTCCATTCCATCTTAAAAAATGTAATTCCAATTTTAAAAATTTTCGTCTTACTTTAAAACTTTCGTTCCAATAATGGGGTATCCCTTCTTATTTGAACTACATGCTAGAGATGGAATGAAAGTCTGGATGAGTTCATGAAATATTTTAATTGGACTGCCATTCTAAGTAAGGATTTCCAATCATAAATAGGTTAATCCAATCTAAATTAGACGATATTTGTTGTAATAGAATGAAAGTCTAATTAAAAAATTTCATAAACTCGTCCAGACTTTCATTCCATCTTGAATAAATAGATGTAGTTGGAAGGGAAAGCTTGTATTAAGACGGGAACTTATCAAATTAAATTGGAAATTTTAGAATTGGACAAACATTGGAATGATAATTTATAAATATGAAGGATTTGTTTTTATGGAATGTTTTTTCAACTTTCATTTCTCATGGGAATTTTTCTGTTGTTGGAAACAGCCTGAATCATCGTCCCACCATCCCACAGTTCCCACTGGGCAGCTGCACGAATGAGTGTCATATAATGCCCGGGTCTATGTAAAATACAGACATAAATATGCGGATGGTCATTGAGGTCATTGCCTCGCGTCGCATGATGCATAAGAAGGTGGCGACCGTGAAACGCTAACTGTAAGACATTTACATTAAAGCCTCCTGATGAGGAAGAGTATAGTTGCTACCTTCAGGAGGAGGACTATTATGGTCATACAACAACTGATTTTCAACAACGTCAAGCTGATAAGCAATCGCAACAAACTGTGACGCAATATAACATTGACGCTGATAAGCCATTGAGGTAGGCAGACATTTGTGGCTGTCAAACCACAAGAATTTGGTAGGTCTGCCCGCAGATCCGAATCGGTCACCACTTGAAAGCCAGTTGTGATCAGGCGGGGTCAGCGCATAAATGACGAACGCCGCCGACGTGGCCGATCAGGTTGTTGGTAAGACAAAGAACCCCGCAAATTAGCATCAACACGGCGTGGAGAGGAAGGGGGACTAGGAGGAGGAGAGAATGAACGAGTTTGCCGACGTCCCAATATGGACAACGAAGACAAAGGAGGGGCCACTTGTAGCCGGCTTGGGAAAAAAGAAGAAGACAAGCTAGAGGGGACAAATGGGGAAGAAGAAGAAGAAGAAGAGGTCGGAAAAGAAGAAGAAGAAGAARAAGAAGAAGAAAAAGAAGAAGAAGGAGAAGAAGAAGGAGAAGAAGAAGAAGAAGAAGAAGACGAACTAGAGGGGACAAATGAGGAAGAAGAAGAAGAAGAGGTTGAAGAAGAAGAAGAAGAAGAAGAAGAAGAATTTGAAAATTTGAATTTGAAAAAGCGAGGCCAATCGCTACACGTCCATGCCTTAGTGATAAACAGTACAGCACCTGCACGGACACTCAGCTCAACGCGCACATTCCCCGACGCGTTTCGCCTGGCTGCACACCAGGACTTCTCAAGGGGCATCCACTCTCCCACATCCACCATAGCGAACCTTCCCAAAGCAAAGAGGGCCGTTCTGGCCTTGCCCTCCGTCATATATCGGCACAACCTCCGCGTTCGCACTCCCGCGGCCCTCGAGGCTGCAACTGACTGGGCGGGTGTCGACTAGACTCCCTCGTAACTGACCTGGCATGCACGTAGGCTAGCCCTTCTCTCCAACAACCTCACGCGTGCGCCTTCACCCGCGCCAAGTATACAAATTCTCACGTGCACAAGCTGACAGTCCGGGCTCTCCGCTGCGAAAAGGGCACGTTGGCGCCTCTAACTTCCTATGTCCCAGGCCTGATTTATGCGCTAAATCCATTCCAGTCTGAACCCCCCAGATAGCTAACCGGTTCCGACAATACTAGCCCCGGTGACGCTAGACTAGCCGCACTGCCTATTTCCTTCTACCCTAGTATACACCCGGTACCGTGCAGCACCAGCCTACCCTGTTATTACCTCGCATCCCTTCTTCATCTACCCCAGCTACCCGCTTCTCTCCGTAACACGCATCAGTAGCCTTACCATGTCTTCTATTACGTCTCAGACCCTTCTTTCCTGCCCAGATTAACATACAGCCTGGTTTACTAATCCCGAACTCTTATCCTATTTTACAACCCAGTCGTAACTGGGACCTACCACCAGCCCTCTCGCCCGACCCTGCTTACTAGTTACTCCCAACTATCTACACTATGATACATGGCTGCTTCCCCTCTGCTCTACAGCCCCTCCCCTTATGGCACCCATTTAATCCTGCATCTCTCCCGGTTCTCCTCGAGGTGCTTCAAACTTCAGCGTCCTAACCAGTTGTTCGGTCAGCGTCTTCATCGCTGCCCCGAACGAACCGGTGGCTCTGGCAAATATCGCCAGAGCATTGGAGAAGAAGAAGAAGAAGAAGAAGAAGAAGAAGAAGAAGGAGAAGAAGAAGAAGAAGAAGAAGGAGAAGGAGAAGGAGGGGGTGACAAAGAGGAAGGAGAAGGAGAGGGAGGGGGTCAGAGGGGCATTCGGCTCTACCCACATCTTTCAGGGGCATTTCGGCACATATCTCAACTTATAAGGGTATTTTGCAAATTATCCCTTTTTCCTATGATCGTCCCATTCCCTGGAAAAAAAAAAACCTTTACTCTTCTTTTTTTTCCTTCGTCCCCCCCCCCCCCCCCCCCCCCCCCCCCCCCCCCCCCCCCCCTCGCGCTCTCACCCTAGAACTCACCGACCCCAGGTGCAAGGTCCCACTAGCAAACAGGATTGGTTTGATGTTCCGTATCTGGACCTGTTTGCAGAAAAGTTGCACAAACTCACGATAGATCTGTTATTCTGCATCTCTGTGCAAAACACGTCCAGATTCAGGCAATTAATC